ACAAGTTGACAAAAAACAGAGAAAAAGAAGCAGTTTACAGGCTGAAGTCTGCTCTAGAAACCTAGAACATTTTTATTGATATGTAACTCACAAGCCCGTTCATCTCTGTGTTTGTTACCTGTTGAACATCAAGCTCTGGCTCCTTGGGTGTATCAGCATGCACTCTGGCTGCACAGGTCTTTTGCTTCTAGCTTTGTGTTAATAATTTACTGCCTTTGCGGGTGCTTGGAAAGATTTAGTGTTGTTATTGGACCACTGGGTAGCTGTTGCCGGCCTGGACACAGATTACACTTTACTGTTACATTCTTGTCTTACCAATAAGTTATGGGTAAGTCTTGACCCTTCCAAAGATGTAGAGTACTCTATCATTTTTGTCCCTTTCTTATACAAGAACTGTGGTCAGGTGGATTAATAATAATAATAATGTATACTTTATTCATCCCCGTGGGGAAATTACTTGTTTTTCTCTGCATTTGACCCATTCACTCAGTGAAGCAGTGGGCAGCCACTAAGCAGGCGCCCGGGGAGCAGTGAGTAGGGACAGTACCTTGCTCAGGGGTACCTCAGGGTAGCTGTTCAGTGGATTCGAACCCCCGACCTTCCAATCATGGGGTGACCACTCTACCTACTAAAAAACCTAAAAATGTAGGTTTGACTAAAATAAGATCAATTGTCTGCTTTTTTTGGACACTGAAGAAACTATAGATCAGTTATTTTGTTGCTGTGAGAAGGGACCACATACTTCAGCTTTACTGAGTTTTCAGTCTGTGATATATGTCAGTGCCAGTTTACTGAATCAATCACACATGGCAAAACCTTAAGCAGCTTTATTGACAGACATAATTTACAGATTTCATTTAACCTTTTTACAAAGTGTAAACACAATTTCACTCACGAAAACATATTCTGCAATCTAATTTGTGCCCTCCATAATCAGCATCTTATCATGGTGGAGGGGTTTATGTGTCCCATGGATCCCAGAGCTTTGTTGTCAGGGGCTTTTACCCCTATTAGGATCTCTCAAACTGATAGACAAACTGGTCCTAGTTGAGGGGCCAGATGAAGAATGATTCAGGTAACTCATAAGAAGAATAAATGAACAGAGGACCACTCTACCCTCCTGGGGATACTGTTACCCAGCCCTCATCCTGGAGCCAGGCTTTGGGAAGGAGCTTAATTTAGAAAGCATTTAGTGGCGAGGCTTTCACCCATGTGACCCTGTTGGATGCAGCCTGAAGAGGTAACATAGGCCTGGACCCATGTTTTCTAACCACCCACAGTCTATTGGAGAGGCCCTAGACTCTGTTATAATCTAGAATTGTCCTTGATGATAGGTGACAGGCTAGAGGGAGTATCATGGTATCCCCAACAGTTCAATGCTGTATATTGGGGTTTTCCCCGGTGGACAAAAGGTGTTTGTTTCGGTGCCAACTTCTTGGAGTGACTGGGTGATGGAGGGTGTCCCATGTGACGACTCCATTGTTTTACTCTGACTTACACGGCAATTACTCTGAGATCCAGAGGGGTACAACTGGGAGGAAATCCCTGCCTGATCAGAACCCCAGTGGGTTTCTGTCACCTCAGTTTGTCCATACTAAACACCATGTTCAAGCATAAAGATGTTCATAGATGCGCAGCAACGAGATACCCTAGCATAGTGGTCCCTTTTTTTGTGCCACGGACTGGTAAATGTCCGACAATATTTTCACAGACCAGCCTTTAAGGTGTCGCAGATAAATACAACAAAATAAAACCAGTAGGCCTACCGGTACCAAGAAAAGAGAAAATGTATTCATAACACACAGGAAAAGACCCAGGGAAACCAAGTTAACTATAAAAACAATAAAACATAATGATAAAAACACTGGAAACCGTAAATTTCACACCCGAGCCTCAACTCTCGCGGCCTGGTACCAAATGACTCATTGACCGGTCCGTGGTCTGGGGGTTGGGGACCAATGCCCTAGCGCACAGATCGATAATTGATCATCAGATCTGCAGACCAGCTGTAAAGAGCTGTGTCTGCACGGTGGTTGACGCCTGTTGTGGCTGTAATCACTGAACCAGATGGTGGAAGCCAGCAGTGATAGGAGCCATCAAGGTATGGAGTCCTATCAGACTTGGTTAGCCTGTAAAACTCCAGAGCAGCCAAGTGCTCTGTAGCTCTGCCAGTAGTGGACATAAAAATTCAAATGTGTGAGGATTTGTGGAGGCTATTTTTGGTCAATTTCAAAGTGACAGTGGCAAATGGTCAGGTCGCTCAGGAAGAGAATGCTATTAGCTGGAGGAGTCTCCAATTCAATAAAAGGATGCTGACATTACCTCGAGCTCTATCGAGCTACTATGACAGCTTTTACTGCATCACAAGGTGTCTCGTCGGTCCCAGTGCAAATAAAGTCTGAAATAACAAACACACTAAGCTGTCTGAGTTACAGTTAATCAGAATTTAATGAACTAACTGTCATCTCTGGTTGTTAAGAGGATTTGGGATTACTGAGGACAGTGCTAGAACAAAAACGATGCAAATTACCTTGGCTTAATGTGACAGTTGAGATTTAATACAGCTAAGACCGGTGGGTGCAATGTATCATTGTCACTTTGTGTATTCATTTATTAATTTAATAACCTCCCAGCAGGGATGTGTCTAAGTAGTCTTTACATGGAATAGTGTCAGAACAGCACAATTCCTCTTGTGCTTTGGATATTAAGACATTTTTTAGAGATGTGCTTGCTCCCTTTATGGCAAGAGAATTAGGCATGAAAGATTGATTTCTCCTTCATGTCTGGCTGATACAGCTGGCAGTGCATCTAATGCATCTCTTGAGCCTAAGAAACACAAGCCTCATATCTAACTCACAACTATTGTTGTCTTTTTTACTTGTTTTGGTATAATTTAGGTTAAAAAAGGTAACCTTTAAAGCCTGACCAATACATCAAGGGGACTGGTATATTGGCCAATATTAGCGGGAGAAGCAACGTATAGCTTCAGCCAACTTTATGCTCCATAGTTTGTCCGCCAGAGGAAACTATGCAGCTTCCCTGGGCGCAAAAACCACCAGCTGATATAAGAAGAGTCGGGCAGATTCTCAATCTTAACAATAAAACAAGACTATTCTTTTAAACAGCACCAATATCAGTTGAGCTCTAGTTTTATTCTCTTGTTAAACAGATTACATGAACGGGTAAGCTGTTTCCCCCTGTGTCTAGCCTTTACGGTAATGCTGCTGGTTTATCTAATAAGAATAATAATGAACAATTAAAAATAGATTAAACCACCATTAGGTGTCATCTGAATCATCTGTTATCTAAATGAAGATAATAATAATAAGCTGGAATAGTAAAATTGAGGAGTGACAAGAACTAAAGTGTATTTCACAGGGAAAATCTAACTCCTAGACAGCTTCATTATAGCGTCATTATTTGAGTCAATTACCTCTTTACAGTCTAATACCACTCTATTGAACTCTGTAATACCTCGCAGGCATAGTGACATCACCAGGGAACCCTCTAACGTTTAACATTATGAGAGACTAAAGCAGCGTGATTAAATATGCCAGGCTTCACTCTTTAAAGCCTTAAAGATGGCCTGAAGTTGCAGGTTGGAGCTGAATTTTTCACAGTATTTTCACCCATGAATTTTATATAATTTCATTATAATTTTACCATGAAAACCAGATGTCACTTAGAAAGGATGACTAATATAACAGGGTTTTTAATAATTCATTTGGGTCTTGCGTGCTGAGTTTATGAGATAAAAGATATGTGATTTTAGATCTTTTTGATGGGATCCAGCCTTAACCTCGGCTCATCGCAACGATAGGAAGCGATAAACACAGAATATGTCTTTGCTGACAAGAGCTGTAAACAGTGGAGCCATTTCAGTCACTTGTTTTCAGGCCTCTTCATTCTGTGGAAATGGATCCACGCTTTCTTCTGTTTTCTATAAACACTCCACCATTTTCCATTCTCTTTGAACTACCCCTCTCTGCTCCATTTTCCACCATACTGGCTGAAGGGACATTTTTCTGAAATACTATTACAAGGACCATCCTTGAAATGCTTTGATCACTCTTCATTCAGATCACAGAAAAGCTACTGCTGCCTACGGGAAAGGTTTATTTCAGCAATGTCTTTTTAGTCAATATTGTTCACTTGACCTTTCTACTGAGTCCTTATTAACGGCCCTCTGTTATCATTATTTCTACACTCTATGAATATAATATGGAACATACAAGAAACGATTTTTCCTATCTGCCTGTAAGAAACTGGAATTTTTTAATTATACATTTCTTTAAATATTTTTGGATTACATTTTATGGTTAATTTGTATTCTGTAATATCTGGTAATCTTTTCAATAAATGGAGCTGAAAGTTTTCTATCACAAAATGGGCTAGTAGCTCACAAAAGAGGCCTGAATTATTCAGAAATCATTTCAAGATACTTTGCCTAGATCGTACAGTATTCTTGCGTCACAAGGAAACAATGCAAGCTGGGTATATTTAGCAAATGGTCACGCCTGTGTGGTTCCATCTGTAAATTTTGCATTTTATTTATGTGTATCCTTCTGATGCTTTCTTTCTTTATTCTTACACTAGTTGAAGTAGTGTTCTTTCTAAGTAAAGACTGAAAAAAGGGCCTTTGTCAGTTTTGGGAATTTCACATATGTTTTTGTTTTCATTTCACAAAATGAGAAAAATTCTCAGTATGTGTTTAAAATGTCAAGTTGTAATTACTGAACAGAGCTGCTGAGCCCAAAGGGTCACCGAGCTAATGGTTTAGAGCCACTGTTTGAAGTGACTGTTACCAGTTTGTGCTGCAGAGTCAAACCTCAATAGTGGATCAGAGCTTCTTGGTCATGTTCTCTACTGCAAATAAAAAGACAAGAAACCTATAAAGACACTCAGAACAGCTAAAGAGGGATCAAATAAATACAAAAAAAACCCCATAATAATGCAACATGTGTGACCTTTTACATATACAGTATGTGTCTTCTGTGCAGATACACCAAAATGAAGACAGCCACCAACATCTACATCTTCAACCTTGCTCTGGCTGACGCCTTGGTGACGAGCACACTACCGTTCCAGAGTGTTAACTACCTAATGGGGACCTGGCCTTTTGGGGACGTCTTGTGCAAGATGGTGATGTCCATCGACTACTACAACATGTTCACCTCTATCTTCACACTCACCACCATGAGCATCGACCGCTACGTCGCTGTGTGCCACCCCGTCAAAGCACTGGACTTCAGGACGCCACGCAATGCCAAGATTGTCAATGTCTGCAACTGGATTCTTTCCTCTGCAATTGGGTTGCCTGTCATGTTCATGGCCTCCACTACTGTCACTTTAAGTATGAACACATGTACCACTAATGCTGATCCTGATTTGCAGCACTTCAATTTTAGCATGAATGGGGAAATTGTAACGGAAGTAAATACACTACATATTGTTTTAGCAGCCTGACCTCATCACAATAATCTTGATGATTAAAGTTTTGCTGCATAGACAGTGAGTAAGACATTAGCCCAAGAAATGCTAGCATCTAGTGAAACAGCTAGTTCTCTCTGCAGACAATTAGGTCATTTTTGGATTCATTTGCAATCAGCCTGTTCTGCCCCTTAGGTATGATGATGTGCTGCTTTGGACAACTTTAAAGTTAAATGAAAAAGCTCCGCTAAAAGCATCCTTGACCCTAAAACTGTTTTTGTGATCCCTCGTGCAAATAGCAAAGGTCATTTAATTTCTTGAAGAAGTTGTCTGTTTTCATCCATGTTTATAAATAAGATGTGGCAAAATAAACAGTAGAGATTCAGTTTTACAAATTACTTAGATTATTGCATTAGCTTTATTTTCAGCTGCTCCCTTATTTCCCAGGCGGTTGCCACAGCAGATGAATCTAGGTTGATGGTACAAACCTCCCATTTATCCATGTTTGGAACTGGCAAAAGGGGAAAAAAAACTCTAGAATCCACCAATAATAAAAAAAAAAAACCCACAAAAAAAACCCCCACTTATTTTAGAAGAAGAACATTAAATTACATATTTAATTATGAATTTTCGACAATAAAGTGATGTTGGGTGTGCCAAAATAAAGAACAGATTGCTGGCCAGCGCGTACTGATCCAGCCTTTGTCTAAATTCCAAAATTCACCACACAGTTGGCCACAGTGACAACAAAATAAGGAACACTTTGCAGCAAATTTCATATTCTAAAAGTAGAAGAGTGGAAGTTTGTCACACCACCCACTTCTACTCCACCTGCAGCCAGCCTTCATCCCTTCAAACTCCATCCTGTCTGCAGCCCTTCACTTCCTCAGCTCTGCTGAAACCTGTCCAATTTACATTCGCTGCTCCCTTGCTCTCTCTAGTTACTTGCTCAGCTCAGTTTGCCACAATCTGGATTCTTTGCTCAGTTCAATTAAGGTTCCTTCACTGATCTGCACAGCTATCAACTTGTCCACTTCTGCACACATCTACTTTGCCTCACTCTACCTTGGCTCAATACTCTACCCCTACCCCATTCTTCTGTCTAATAATTATTCACCACTTATCTAACTCCAGCCCCCCATATGTTTGCCTGTTAGCTCACTCTGGCTCATGATACGGAAGTCCTCACATCAAAAAGTGCATAAACAACATGTGTCGCGAGGCAATCAAGTGTACTGTTATTGTCAAGTATGCTATCTCATTAATTTCCATAAGTGTATTGTAGTGGTTTACACATTTCCCTAATAAACTATCCCTGGCTTGATCCTGAGAGGAGACACAAACCCCTTGAGTGTTGTGTCAGGAAAGGCACCCAGCATAAAAATCTTCCAAAGCCAAAACGCTGTGGTCATCCCTTGTAAGTAAGCTACCAGCCAAAGCTATAGTTTTTCAATGGGGAGTCAAAATGAACCCTTGCAAGTATATGTGGCCATTTTTTTTCCCTTTCGCTGTATTTTACACCTCAAAATTCATCATACGTTTAGTAAACTAGTCAAGTTGTTAGGAGTTACCCAAATTTGGAATTAAATATTAAATAATGTTGTGTGGGAAAATGTATACACACCCTATGCAATTTTTCTTTTTACAAACAGCATTTTAACAATGGCACAAAAACTACAAAACAATAATGAACTCATTCAGTTCAGTCTCTTCATTTTTGATTGAAAAAGCAGTTACACACTCCAGCACATGTAAATGAAGAGAAATCACAATATTTATTGTGTAACTGTACAAATAACTAGTTCTGGCTGCTGTCAAATACAGCCGTCTTCACAGCCAAAAAGCTGCTTGCAAGGAAAAAAGGAAGCATATCCAGGAGCAAATACAGGAGCAAATGCAGTGGTAAAGACGGTAACTGAATAAAAATGAAACTCAAGCATTCTTTCAATCTGTTTAAGAAGAGAGAGTAAAAGGAGATTTACTGCAAAGCTGTGGGGGCAAGGTTCTTTAAGATGTGATTGCTTTACTTTGACATAACAGTTTTCAGTGAAAAGGTTTTTCTCAAGCAGCTTCAGGAAGACATTGCTTTCTTTGC